AAATTCTAGCCGATACTTGTGGGTCTGAAAGTGTGTGTTTGTGTGTGTGTGTTGGGATTCACAAGCAATGTTATTAATCCTCGCGCATCATCGGTTGGCAACCGCACAACTTTATGCGTTCGTATTCGCGGTCGCATGCGTACCCATGAGGGCGCGCATGTTGGCAAGAAATCGACGGTAGCATTATAGCCGATACATGTGGGTTTCAAATTGCGTTTTCGTATCATGGGCCATGTCTGCCATCGCGCTTCATCGCCCGACAATCGCGAAAACCGTATGTTTTCTCCATTGCGCGCATGCGCGCCCAGGAACGCGGACATTTGGCCAAGTAATCGATTGTGCAATTCGAGCCACTACGCGTGGATGCCGACTTGTTGTTTCCAGGTTCGCAGACACTTTTCGTCCTCGTGCTTCGTAGCCTGGTAATCGCAAAACCGCATGTTTTCGCATTCGCGGAAGCATGCGTGCCCAGGAGGGCAGACATGTGGCAAAGAGATCGCTTGTACAATTCTGGCCAATGCGTCCGGATTTCGAATTTTGTTTTCTGCCTCATAGGCCATGTTTATGCCCGCGCCTCATCTCGTGACAATCGCAAAACCGTATGCTGCGCAACTGCGAAGGCATGCGTACCCAGGGGGTCCGAAAGCGGCGGAGGGGGAGGGGGAGGGGGAGGAGGAGGAGGAGGAGGAGGAGGAGGAGGAGGAGGAGGAGGAGGAGGAGGAGGAGGAGGAGAGGGGAGGGAGGGAGTAGGAGTAGGAGTAGGAGTAGGAATAGGAAGAGGGAGGGAGGAGGGAGGAGGAGAGGAGGGAGGAGGAGGAGGAGGGGAGGAGGGGGGATGCTAAGGAGGGGGGTGAGCGGAGGGCGGAGGATGGGGACCAGAACCCAGATCGGCGGAACCATAATCCAGACGAAATTCGGCTGAGGTTTTCGTCACGGCGGAGGAGGAGGAGAAGGAAAAGGAGGAGGAGCAGGAGATGCATGAAAAGCAGGAGGAGCAGGAGGAGGAGCAGGTGGAGGAGGAGGATGAGGATGATGATGAGGAGGAGGAGGAGGAGGAGGAGGAGGAGGAGGAGGAGGTCTGGGCCCCGGGGCCATCACAGAGCAATCCGGCTCGAAGGGTCAGCAGCAGATGGGGTGCAGGGTTCTGGTCGCGTCTCTCTTCGTTCTGCGTTGCTGCGTTTTTTTTTTGTTTTTGGCGTCGGAGTTCCTGGGTGGGTTGGGGTCTTGGGGCCGACTGGAGTGGGCGGCGCCCACGACGGTGGGTGGCCCGAGGGGAGTGGGCTGCTCAGGCGCCTTCCCGTGGGCCTCCAGGGCCTGCTACAGAGGCGCACGCTTTTCGGAGGTGGATCGACCTCCTACCCTGACACGTCGATAAGCGAAGTGGCCGTTTTCGGTTCGCGAGAGGGCGTCGTGGCCGTTACTGTTGCGGGTCTAAGTCCGTCGGTTTTGGTCCCAGGCCGCTGTCACTAAAGGGAGGTTTACTGAAGGGAGGTTTGTCCAAAGCCGAGAGACGCTCCTCCGTTTTGAAATTCCTGTCAGAATGCGCCCCGGGAAACGTCCGAGGAGTGCAGCGGCATCGAAACGCCAGCCGCTAAGGTTCAAGCCCCAGGTTGTTTGGGCCTCTGATGCAGGCCTCCCAGATTGGGGTCGAAGTAATTCGAGTGGGTCGGAGAATCGCGCCGCATCGCCGATGCATCGGCGATGCAGCTCGATGTACTCTGGATCCCTCAATAATCGTCCCCCAGGTCCGGTTTTTGTAAGGCTCCTTTGGGGAGGCAGGGGGTCGGCTTATTGAGACGTTCTCTTGAAGCCGACGTTCAGGGGGGTCCGGTTCATTTTTGGCGCCGTTTGCGCATGCATTCTCACCCTACCCTCACGCACCATGGCCTCCATATTGGTTTTCGACATGATTACCGCTCCTCGCACTTTCTGGCTTGCTTTGTTGGGGGTCGGGCCTTTATCGTTCCTGGGGGTCCGTGCGCCTCGCAAATACTCCGCGGGGGAAGATGGATACAAGTAGCCCTTGCGCCCATCACGAGGTGATACCACTGGGGTCTTCAGATGCCACTCGAGGCGGGCAAACGGCCGCTTCGAGTTGCGCTCCGCGATTCTCGAAGCTTACTCCTCGAGGCCGGGTCGGTGTCATGGGGCGTCTATTTCTCCAGACCCCTGATGCCGCATCTTCTCTTCACGACGCTGACCGTGGACCGCGAGGTCTCGGCCCCTTTCCCCGGGCCAGCCTCTTCAGCATTTCCTGTCGTCTCTTGCCGGTGTGCCGGAGCCCGGCAGAAGGCCCCCCGAGGCCGCGTGCCGCCGTGGAGCGCTCCGCCCTTAGTATGTCGCTGCGCGAGGGGAGCGTGGATGCAAGAGGGGCCTGTCCCTCTACAGGAGGGATGCTCAAACACAGGCAAGCATAGTCTCGGGACGATGTTTGGATTTTGCTTGTGATTTGTTTCTGCACGTTTGCGATTCTTTCTCATTGTTCCTCCAGAAGCCGCCTTTAGGAGGACACGCTCGACCGAAGTCTGGATTTGGGCGTGCAGTCCCTGCAGTCCAACGTCGCGGTCAAGGGTGCCACATGGTGGCAAAGCGCGACTGGAGCCCTGGACCCTAATTTCAGGAGGGAAAGAAACACACAGACACAATTTATCGTCGAGTCCCAGGAAAAGATGGGAAAATATGGGAATTGGGCGGGAAGACAAAAACGCAGAAAATATGGGAAAATATGGGGAATCATTTTATTGGTGTGGATTTATTTGTGTGTCCCAGGGCCCCTTCATACTTTTCTGACACAATCCCTGGAGTCGAGATCGACCCACGAGTGGATGCTAATTACCCCGAAGGCTGGAAGAAGGTGAGATGTCGACCAGGGCCCAGAACTAGACATCCGACGAGAAGGATTTTACCGTCCGTGGCCCCAGAGGTCCCGACCCCTGTGCAGGTGTGGTTTTCCGTCCAGGAGCCATTCTGATGGCCCCGGGGCCCGACAACACTGCCGCAGAGGGGAGCAAGATCGAGGAGCAACGCCAGGTCTGAACAAAACTCACACCGTCGGAGATCCGGGGTGCGAAGACGAGCTGCGGCGCCAGGGCCTCTCGAGGGCTTGTTGGCGCCCCCTTCCCACGAGGGGCACGGGCGACGCCGTGGACGGGGTCTAACAGGACTGGGATACATCGCTCTCAGAACCTTCATAGCGCGCACTGGGATCGCCGCGGCGTCCGATGCATGATCCAGAACCTCCGGATATCAGAGATCGCCAGCGTGGCCTGGTCTGGGGTTGTGCCAGTCCTGGCTTCGTCTTGTCGGGGGCTCCCAAGTGCTGCGGTGCCCAGACTTTGTGGTGAGTCAGTAGGCTTTCGGGGTGGCCGCATTGTTCTGGATTTTTGGCCGATCTCCGAGGACGCTTGGGGTGACTGGGGCAGCCAGGATCACAAAGCAGTGCGTTCACGGACCGTGAGGTGAGATTTTTGGGGGAGTTCGAGGACACCGCACGGCCATTTTATCGAACATTCCACACCCATGCCCACGTCGACGACGTGATCTTTGGTGGATCCTGGCGTCTTTCCTCGTCTTCGGCCTCAAGGGCCCGTTGTTGGGCCTTCGTGTGTTGTTGGGTCTTCGTTCTGAAGAGACAGCGCCCCGTGTTCCTCCTCCTCTTCGATCCTATCCTACCATCCCTGCCTCTGCCCTCCGCACCCAGTGCAGCTCTTCGTGGCCTCATTGGGAGTTCCACCGAAGGCCCCAGTGTGTGACCACATGCGTCCCGCGCCACCCACCAGTACAGCATGTCGTGACCCCATAGGGAGCTCCACCGAAGGCCGTAGTGGCTGTGACCACATGCGTCCCGCGCCACTCAGTATGGCGATTCGGGGCCCCATTGGGAGCTCCACCGAAGGCCGTAGTGGCTGTGACCACATGCGTCCCGCGCCACTCAGTATTGCGATTCGGGGCCCCATTGGGAACTCCACCGAAGGCCGTAGCGGCTGTGACCACATGCGTCCCGCGCCATTTAGTACAGCGCTTCGTGGCCCCATGGGGATCTCCGCCGAAAGCCCCAGTTGCTGTGACCATATGCGCCCCGCGCCAACCAGTACGGCGCTTCGCAGCCCCAGAGGGAGCTCAGCCGAAGGCCCCAGTGGCTGCGACCACATGCGTCCGGCGCCACCCAGTACGGCGTTTCGTGACCCCATAGGGAGCTCCTCCAGGGTCCCCGGTGACTGCCGCGCCACCCAATACTGCTTTTTTTTTGCCCCATAGAGAGCTCCTCCGAAGGCCCCAGTGGCTGTGACCGCAAGCGTCTCCCCCCGCGCATTTCGGCACACCCTCCGCGCGTCTCGTGGCCCCATACGGAGCTCCACCGAAGGCCGTAGTGGCGACGTTCGCATGCGTCCCCCCCCCATTTCGGCATATCATGTATGCGTCGTTTCGTTGCTTCATAGGCAGCCCCACAGCAGACCCCAGCGGCGACGATCGCATGGCGGCCCCGCTTCATGTCGGCACTTGCCTCATGCCTTTCGTGGCCCAAGATGGAGCGCCACCGAAGGCCCCAATGCCTGCGCCCGCATGCGGCCCCGCCCCATTTCGGCACACCTTTTACACGCTTCATTGCCCCAGGAGGAGATCCACCGAAGGCGATTCGCACAACGCCGACACTCACAACTGCATCTTGTTGGGCCCTCCGCCAAGAGATTTTTCAACACGCTGCCCTCGGAAGCCCCGACCCCCTCCCCAGAGCCAGTTCTTCACCCCGGGAAGTTTCTCGACTGCTGCAGGGCTTTGCGAGGGCCCCCCGAGGCCGAAAGCGGCCGACGGTTCCCCGTCCCGATGTTTGCAGGAAGCAAGCAGGTCCGGGGTAGGGTCTGTGATCCCTCTCGGGCCCCCAAAGTTCGCCCCGCTCCCAGCGTCGTCGTCGTCGTCGTCGCCGCCGCCGCCGCCGTCGTCGTCGTCGGCGTCGTCGTCGTCGTCGTCGCCGTCGTCGTCGTCGTCGTCGTCTCCGCGAGGGGCGCGGGCGACGCCTTCGGCGCCGCGGCGCCGCGGCCTTGCGCCGCGGCCTCCGCCGCGACCCCGGCGCCCGCGGAGCCCGCACCGAGCACGGCGCCGAGCAGGAGCACGCTGCCGGGGGGCGTCGTCGTCGTCGTCGTCGTTGTCGGCGGCGGCGGCGGCGTCGTCGGCGGCGTCGTCGGCGTCGTCATCGTTGTCGGCGTCGTCGGCGTCGCCGTCGGCGCCGAGCAGGAGCACGCTGCCGGGGGGCGGCAGCCGCGGCGGGCTGCTGGGGAAGCTGCAGAAGACGGCGATTCAGCGTCGCTATTCGGAGGAGGACTTTACTTATACCGCTATCCTCTGCCCGTTTTCTCTTTTTTGGGCCTCGTCGGAGGCCCTCGTCGCCACCGCTGGATTCGCCTCGAAATACTGGTCAGGACGCACCCAGGGAGGGGTCAGGGGAGTAGCGGTATCGGTATCTTTTGGCCTCCCCAGCTATGCTCAACCTTCTGGAGAGATCATATTCTAGGCCTCCTGGACACTGGATGGGGCCAGAGTAGATGCAGTCGGAGGATGGCGCCGCATCGCCGATGCATCGGCGATGCTGCTCGATGCTGAGCCCGATTTGCTTCACGTCGACGTCGTCGCCGATGCATCGCCGACTTGCCGATGCATCGCTGGTGCATCGCCGATGCCTCGGCGATGCATCTCCGATGCATCGCCGATGCGGCGCGATCCTTCGACCCCATTTACTCAGACACCATCGAAGAGGCCCATATATGGTCAACCTTCCCAAAATATCGTATGCAGAGCAACTTGGGACGTGCAAGAAACAGCACCTGCCCTAGTGTTGTTTCTTGCACGTCCCAAGTTGGTTGCTCTGCATAAGGTCTCTTGGGAAGCGTGACCATAGCTAGGGGAACGAACAATGACATAAACACAATAACTCGGAGGTCCGCGCGGATTTCTCGGATCGCGCTGGGGCCCCCTGGCGGCGCCTCCGGCGCCGCCCCTGGCGCGCTCCGTGCGCCAGGGAGGGGGGTCCAGCGCTGCTCCGAGAAATCCGCGCGGACCTCCAGGTGTCTATGTGTATGTCATTGTTCGCTCCCCTAGCTGTATCAAACTTCCCAAGTGATCTTATGCAGAGCAACTTGGGACGTACAAAAAACAACACTAGCCCTCGTGCTCATCCGTACTTTTGGCACCCTTGGGGCTCATCCGTACTTTTGGCTCCCTTGGGCCGCTCTTGGCGCCTCCTGGGGACCTCGTGGGGCCTCTGAGAGGCACCTTGGGCCGGCGTGGACTGTTTTCAGGGCATCCTGAAGCCGTCCTTTGCCAGCACAGTCAACCCGCATAGGAAGGACGGGAAACCTTCCCAAGGGCACCCCTGCGTCCTCGCCTCCGCGGCCCATCCTTGGCCTCTTTCGTGGGCCGCGCCGCGACCGAAGAGCCTCGAAAGGGGCGTCCAGGGCCCTTGCCTCAACTTGCATCCTCATCGCGCCTCCCTGTGAGATGGGCCGAATGTGCCCTTCCCGAGGGTTCGAGTTTGTCGGAGGCTTTGTGGGCCCCGGCAACGGCAGGGCCGTTTTTCCTTAGCGTTTCCAAACAAATGTCCTTTGAACATGGAAACGTCAAAAAAACGGCGGCCGGAAACGGCAAAAAAACGGCTCCAGGATTGGAACCGGAGCCGGAACCGGAAAAGAACGGCGACGGAACCGGTCAAACACCGGCGCCGGAACCGGCAGGAAAGCGGCAAAACGGAACCGGTAGAAAAACGGCCCTGTCGTTTCCAGGGCCCGCTGGTTGGGGCCCCCTTTGGACGTCTTGGGGCGATCTTGGGGGTCTCTTGCGCCGTTTTGGAGCGGCGGGAAGTGGAAAAGGCACGCCCACATCTGTAAACAAAAACCAGCGGCGAATCAATGAATTCGGCCTCTTGGGGCCCTCTCGTTTCCAGGGCCCACTAAGGTCGGAGGTGTTCGGTTGCTCTCTGTCTGTGCGCGGCGGCTTCCTGGCCGCGGGGTGCCTTCCAGCGGCTGCGCCTCGCCGAGGGCGTTCTCCGGTTGGCCGGGAGCGTTCTCCGAACGGCCGCCCGGTGCCCGAGGTATACGAGCCGCAAGGTCCTCCTCGGAGGAGGAGAGGGTGCAGGGCAGCTTTTCATACATGCTCCGCGTGCGGATCATGTATTCTAAATGCAGGGATTCAGTATTAAAAACAACGATGAGCTCATGCATAGAATTACGCATACATGAGTCATGTATGAAACATCCGATATTTTGTTTTAATCCCATGTATAAAAAAAATCTGCCCTGTACCCATATTGCTGCCCCTGCCTCGCCCTCCCCTCCTTGGAGGCCTCCCGGGAGGCCCTGGTCGTCACCGCCGGATTCGCCGTGGAGTGCAGGGCACAACGCAGCCCGGGTCCAGGGAGCAGCGGCAGTGGTGCCTTCTGGCTTCCTCCGGGATTGCCCCGGCGGCCTGGGCGCATCCCCCCCCATTTCGGGCGGAGCCCGGGCACCGCTGGGGGGACGGTCGGGGAAGTGTGAGACTCGAGTACAGTCGGGGCGCTGAGGAAGGAACCCTTTTCGTTGGGGAGGGGCTCCTTGTTCATTAATTATTTCGCAGCTTGGCTTGGGTTTTCATTAGGTTTTCGATGGGAAATCGAAGTTCAACAATGGAAACATGGGGCCTCGTTCCTTATTTAGGGTTCCTTAGGTCAACGCCCCGACTGTACGCCGGAACTCGGGTTTGCCAACGCGTTTTGACGAGCGCGTCCTGGATTTTGTCGGCCCAGTTTCCATGGGACTTTTGCAGCGGGATCTCGTTTCAAATTCAAAACTGGGTCTCATCATTTTCATGATGGCCCCGTCAGGCCAACCCGAGTCCCCCAAGCCCGAGTCTGGAGTTTCTCTGGCAGCATTTCAGAGGAGAACAGTCACCCATACTGCTACCTTTGCCTTGTTTTCGTCTGTTTGGGCCTCCTGGGAGGCCCTCGTCGCCACCGCCGGATTCGCCTCGAAGTTCTGATCAGAACGCACCTCGGGAGAGGTCCGAAGAGCAGCGGTATCGGTGCCTCCATGCGGTTTCCGCAGAGCCAGTATCGATTGGTCGATCCCCATCCCCATTCCCACACTCGAGAGTGGGGAATGGATGTGGTGGAGGGTTTGGGGTGGTGCCCCCTCCCCCGCATCGTGTCGCTCGGGGGCAGCAGCCGCAGCAGGCTGCTGATCAGTATCGTTTAACCGATCCCCGTCCCCATCCCCATCCCGATCCCCACCGTCCCACCACCCCAGTTGGACATACAGTCAACCCGCATAATAAGGATGGGCAACCTTCCCAAGGGCACCCTTGCATCGTTGCCCCTTCGGCCCATCTTTGGCCGCTCTCGCTGGCCGCGCCCAGCTCGGAAGCTGTCGACATGGCCTCGCCCAAGGCCCTTGCATCCTTACCGCGCATCCTCATGATACAGTCGGCCCGGATTAGGAGGTCGACCCTGCCAGCTCAAGGGTACCCTTGTGTCCTGTGCCTCGAGACACGTGCCTTCTTACACTCCCATGGCGATGTGGCCCTCGGAAGGGTCTTGCGTCCTCTCGCGTGCCCTGTCGGATCAAGGCCGACTGCACGCGCTGGCTGCAGACCCCCCGAAGCCCGCAGGGAGCGGCCCCAGTCCACGTCGCGGATGGTGCACTGCCCAGTGGGGCCCCTGGCCACGCCGGTGGGGACGGGGATCGGTGAAGCGATGCTCAGGTGAGCCAGACCGTGGCCAGGGCGGCCGGCGCCCTGGAACTTGCTCTCTGCCTGTCTCTCTCACGCCCTCTGAGGAGAAGAACGACGCGAAGATCGGGACAAAATCGGATCGGGATAACTCCTCGAAATCTCTGAGAATCGGCGGGTTTGGAGGATGTATTGGGCGCCGCGGCCGCTCTAGAGCGTTCCGGAACGCTCTGAGAGCGCTCCGGAACGCTCTGGAGCGATTTATCCCGATCCTAGCCCTGTTTTAAGAAGGAGCACGAACATCATTCGGAGGTGGATCGACCTCCTACCCTGACACGTCGATTGAGGAATGGGCCGTTTTCGGTTCGCGGGAGGGCGCCGCGGCCGTCATTTTTGCGGGTCCAGGTCCGTCCGTCTCGGTCCCAGGCCGTTTTCATGAAGGGGAGGTTTACTAAAGGGAGGTTTGTCCACCGCCGAATTATGAGTCGTATCAGCAGTATGAAGAAGAATGGCACTACCCTCGGCCCATCCCGTCACCGTGCCTGGGTTGTGGGTGTAAAGCGTGAAGCCTATTTGATGTTCGTTGGGATCTCGTGGGGGGCCTCTCGGTGGCCTCTCGGTGGCCTCTTGGGGGCCGCTTCGGGGCCTCTCGGGGCCTCTTTTGGGCCTCCTGGTGGCATCTTGGGTGTCTCTTGGGGCCTCTTGGGCGCCTCTTGGGGCCTCCTGGGGGCCTCTTGGGGCGGAAGGCTTGAACTTTCGGTTCGTGTTCCCTTTCTTGGGCACTTTTGGGGTCCTCTTGGCCGTCTTGGGCGGCTCTTGGGCCGTCTTGGGGCGCTCTTACGCCGTCTGGGGGCCCTCTTGGTGGCCTCTTGGGCTGTCTTGGCGGCCTCTTGGGCCGTCTGGGAGCATTCAAAAGCCGAACAGGCGAGAACGTCCAAATCCTTACAACATCGCAGGACAATCAATGATTTGTGCCTCTTGGGGCCCTCTTGGGGTGCCTGTTGAGGAACTCTTGTGGTGTCCTGGAGGCCTCCTGGGCCATCTTGAGGCCATCTTGGGGCATCTTGGAGTCATATGGGCTCGTTTTGGGGCGGGGTGGGCCGACGCGACCGATTCCGGCGGAGACCGGGGAAGCCTGGGAAACGATTGGTCCGGGCCCTTAACGTTCACAATCTGGGCGGCAACAGCCGTACGGCTCTCTCAGTGCTGCATGAGCCATGGGACACTCCACATCGTTCCAGAGGCACTCTGGGTGATGAATAAAAATCCAATGGAGAAATACCGTAACAACCCGCAGTTGCGGATAAGAGTGAGGGGGCGGGCGCGGGGTGGTCGCGGGAGAGTCGCGGGCACGTCGCGGGGGGGTCGCGGGGTGGGTCGCGTGGGTTGCGGGTGGGTCGCGGGTGGGTCGCTAGTGGGTGGCGGGCCGGGTGGCGGGCGGGTCGACGACAACAAACAACAAACAGCAATCAAATAGCCAAACAAACAAGCAAACAATTAAGCAAACAAGCAAAGAGACAAACACACACACACATACACAAATAACCAAACAAACAAGCAAATAAACACGCAAACAAACAACAGTACCAACAACACCATGAATATTAATCGCAACCGCAGCAGCGACAACAACAACACCAGCACCAGCAACTTCGTCAGCAGCAGCAACATTAACAACAACAACGACACCGACAACACCACCACCGACAGCATCAACAACGACAACCACCACAACAACACCAACAACAACACCGATAACAACAACAACAACAACAACAACAATCATTTTACCCGAACGCTCAGTGTTCTCCCCAGTGCCAGGGTTTTCATGCGACGCCAGCCAATACCCCCACTTCGTGGGGGGGCAATGCAAGCTCTACCAAACATCCACACGACTCTCGGGAACCACCCACACCCAGCTTCCCGCCCTATGACGTCAGGACACTTCACTTCGTGGCGCGCGGACGATCGTGGATACTACACTGGCGTGGAGTACACACCCGCAGAGGTTGATCACTTGTTTGGGCCCCGCATGTGCCCCGCATCGTGCATTTGTTGCGCATGACATACATAGTACAAAGACAGAGAGAGAGAGAGAGAGAGAGGACAGCGCGCGCGGGTGGAAATTTTGAAAAGTCGTGCAGGTGTTTTTCGAGGACCTACGGTGCGATTCGTGTGATTTTATGATGCGCGGTGCTAAAATTCTTAAGAACCCAATGGTTTTTGGAGATTTCGGCGTGCGCGCGCGAAGAAAAAACGAATGTGTCCCGCATGGTATTATTTGACAGGGATGATGGCCCTGGCAGGTGCGCAACCGTTGTCGCAGAAGTTCGAAAAAGTTGCTCGCAAAAGCCCGTTTGACAGAAATGTTTAAAAAGTGTTGGTTTTCCTACGAATCCGCAAGAGCGCGCGGGATGAGATTTTGACAATTTTTTCTTGAAAAAACCATTGGTTTTTGATGTTTTTATGTTAAAATCGCTACGAAACTAAGGTTTTGGAAGGATTTCGTCTTGCGCGCACGAATGTCCACTTTACCTTATTTTTTGCAAGGGATTCTTGCAATTTGATCAAGTAAGAACAAGAATTTTCATTTTATAGTGTTTTTTGCAAGGGAAAACGGATTACAACAAAACAACCGGATCCGGACACAATCCACTTTTCTGAAGCTTTCGCTAGAAAATGAAGGAAATGAGGCTGCGGCCTAGGTTTTGGAGGGGGGTCGCGCACCAGGGGTCTCAACAATAATATTTCTTTAGAAGTAATAATATTCAACAGCACCACCAACACCACCACCAACATCAACAACAATCCGCACCGCGGAAGCCCACTACAGCCACGCACCTAGGGACAGGGAATGAGCGCCCGGTCCCCTCACTCTGCTAATCTTTATAAGAATAGACACCGCATGCACTTACGCTGTCCGCGTTCTCCGCGCGGATTTCTTGGGTCGGTGCTAGGCGCCCCCTAGCGTCGCCTCTGGCGTGCCTCGGCCGTGGGCGCACCTCGGGGAACCGTGTGGTCGGCGCCGTGGGCGCAGACCTCAGCAGGTTGATATGATCTGCTTGACCCTGGCGTTAAATCGGGCGTGTCCCACAACAGAAGGGATATTCAAAAATAGCTGCAACATTGTCTGGTGACGCTGTTTCGTGCTCTTTGGGAAATTCTTGTCACTTGTCATCTTTCTTCCAAAATCCGCCTGTAGGTGGACATGCCCGACCTGATCCTGGCGCTTTCCTTCGCTCCAGTCTCCAGGGCTGTTCTCGTGGTGCGGTCCGGGTATGGATATCCAGGGCGGGGATCGAAGAGGAAAGAACGGCCTAAACACAAGCCTTTGGAGGTTGGCGCGGATTTCTTGAATTGGCGTTGGGCCCCTCTGGCGGCGCCTCTAGCGCCGCCCCTGGCGCGCTCGCGCGTCAGGGAGGGGTGTCTAGCGCCGAACCAAGGTCTCGGCGCGGACCTCCGAAAGTTTATGTTGATGCAGTCTGTTGCTCCTGTGAATCGTGATCCTCATTAGGTCTAGCAGTGAAGATCCATTTCCAAGTTGGTGAAACCGCGTTTCTGAGATGATGCATTGATTAGCCCAGATGTTTCCAAACATCGTTGCACAACCCGTTAATCAAAAGCCTAAGGCTTAACACGTATTGTGCAACGCCGTATTGTTTCGTAGCATGCGCGACAGTTGGCATACATGGTGAAGTTCGGGCCTTAAATGGCGATCGGCTAGAAGAATCGATACAACCATATGATTACATGTTCTTCTTCCCATAAGACAATACTTGCAACCCTCTCGGCGGCATCATAGGGCGTACTAGCATCAGCGATGCTGCAGTCATAATGACGCGTAGTGAATCGTGTGCAGCTAGAGTTTAGTAGAAGCTCGTATCATCATCATGCAGAGACATTGGTGAAGAGCTGAACGCAGGACATTGGCACTGATCGCACCTGGCGCGGCGTTGGTAATAAAGCAGAGCAGGCCACATATGAATGACCATCTCCAGTGGCTTTGATCGCGCGGAAACGCTGTCGCTGTATGTTTGTTTATATGTATATGTTCGTCTATGTTTGTATATATATATATATCTATGTTTATATATATGTGTGTGTGCGTGTGACAATGTCCGGAATCGTGCCAGACAGTTTCCAGCTACCGTCTAGATTGATCCATATAGTTTACAGGTATCGTCCAGATAGTTCACATATCGATCCTAGATTGCTTCAATCTGGACTCAACCAGGAATCGGTCTGGATCAATCTGAAACTCATCCAGGCTGAATGTTCGTTCCAGTCGCTAGGGCGCAACCTGGCTCCATAGTCTTTCTACACCCTCATTCCCTGTTCACCCTTCCTGTTCCTTCTGCCCCTATCCTGAACCTATTCCAGCTCTCACGTCTCAAGATTTGTGGCCTTTCCTGAGCACCCGAATCGATCAGTGACGCTTCACATATCCATTATGGTGCTCAGGTGCCCGATTACCTGAGTGATCGTTTTTGTTCCTCTCTATCTCGCTCGCTCTACCTCTCCTTTCCTCGTCCTCGGTCTGACTTCACAATAGCAAAACGGCCAAACATGTACTGGGGAACAGTCCTAAAGTTATGCCATACAAGTTTATAAGGTCACTCTGCTATTCTACATTGTCCACACTAAAAATGCTTGGAGCCCTTCATTCACTGAGACATTCATGTAACAAGCTTAGGGGGTATAGTAAACGCATTCGTAAGCACGTCAACCAGTTCAAGCTCATCTATGTATGTAGGGAAACATCTGTATATATATGTATATATATATGTATATATATGTATATATATATACATACATCAGCACACACATCTATGTACACACATCTGTGTAAATATCATGTCTTCCGACTAAATGTATAAACGCTTAGACGACAGGCATTATGACGCAGGCTTGTTTTCCCCCGAAATGAAAGACATTCGCTTAGCTGCTTATAAACATGTGTGACCTTCCCCTTTAGCACCGACTATTCACAATGACGCGACTGGCGTGCCATTCAGCGTTTTTTTGTTACTACTGTCACGTGGCCCGGCGAGGGTTCCCAGAGGTCGAAGCAAGCAGAGATCCGCTTTTCGTGATTTCTTCGCGGCTCCATGACGCCAGTAGTTGTCTGCGATGACTTGCGAACCCTTGTCCTACGAGTCCAAACGTCGTTGGGGTAAATCGGACACCCCCGCAGAGGGGGTAATTGGTTTTTTTTCAGATCCTGAGCACCCACCGGCTTTTCAGGAATCTTCTTTGCAGGTTCGCATGTGGCTGCCCAGTTCTAGCCGGCGAAGAACGGTATATCACATTTGTTCCGCCGTCAGGGACGCTTGCCCAAGAGCCGGCTGGACGGTTTATACCCGTACGGTGGCGCGCTGGCAGGCGTCCCCGACGGCTGAATTTATCAGCTTATATTGTTCGTCGTCCGCTCACGCAGACTGGCTCGCCGCCAGAGGTTCATGAGCGGCAGACATCTGCGTATCCGCGCCCTCGCGGTCTGCCTTCTGGGGCGCGACGCGATCCCGCGGACGCGCGCGGTCGCACGGATACATTCGATGGCCCATCATAGAAGCCGTGTGTGTTCTTTTGATCTTGTTTTTTCCAACGACAAGATTTCAATGAATCAAAACACATAAAGACACACTGACACACAGACACACAGACACACAGGCACACAGACACACAGGCACACAGACAAACAGACACACAGACAAACAGACACACAGACACACAGACACACAGACACACAGGCACACAGACACAAAGGCACACAGCCACGCAGCCACGCAGACACACAGCGACACAGCTACACAGCCATACAGCCACACACCACACACCACACACCACACACCACACCACACACCACACATCACACACCACACACCACACACCACACACCACACACCACACACCACACACCACACACCACACACCACACACCACACACCACACACCACACACCACACACACACACACCACACACCACACACCACACACCACACACCACACACCACACACCACACAACACACAACACACACCACACACCGCACACCACACACAACACACCACACACCACACACCACACACCACACACCACACACCACACCGCACACCGCACAACACACACCGCACACCGCACACCACACACAACACACCACACACCACACACCACACACCACACACACACCACACCGCACACCGCACGCCACACACCGCACACCACACACCGCGCACCGCACACCGCACACCGCACACTGCACACACGCACGCACGCACTTACGCACACATACACACTCATTCACTCACTCACTCACTCACTCACTCACTCACTCACTCACACACACAAACGATGCATGATTTCTCTCTGCGGCGTCAGCCCGTGTGGAAAATTTGCATCCACTCGTGGTTGCCAGACACAGCAGCATCTTTGGCAAGACGTTGCAGCGAGGGGTGGAAGCCTTTGACTGACCTGGTACATACCACCATGTCAGTCAAGCGGTTGAATATCGGAATCAAGCCGTATATTGACCGATGGAGAATTCGAGGATAGAGGTTCGTGCAACGCTTTCATGTGCAAACGCGAATCCAGTGAGAAACCGTACTTTGCAAGTGAGCCTCTGAACGGCTCAAATAGAGAATCCCAACGACAGCCTTGCTTTCTCATGAGCAACCATGTAAAGAAAACCACCCATAACAATGTCACGTCGCAGTCCCAGTGGGCCCATGTTGTGTTCAATTAATGCTTCCTTGGGAGTCATCCACACGCCTTCCAGAAAAGTGTCTTGCAGTCCGTCGAGGTGGCGGAGAGCGGCTTTAGCGTCGATTAGCGTCTGGGAGTCGTGAGGTAGCGCCGGTTCGGCCTCGGTTAGCCTCGATTAACAGCGATTTAGCGTCGACTGGCGTCGATTCAGCGTCGACTGGCGTCGACACGCAAGAGCCAGCAGGATGGTCTTGGAGGCTCCCATGGATTGCCGCCGAAGATGTGCGTTCTGCGCGGGGCATCCGTGAGCAAGCGCACCCGCATCCGCAGGGGGGGCGCGGCCCAAGGAGGACTTGTCTGGACCTTTCACACACTCGGACCCAATCGAGGAGGCCTAGAATCCAGCCGTGGCCGCGAGCAGCGGGAAGAGCGCGGAGAGAACATGCCCTGGGAGGGAGGGCCTCCTCCTCCTCCTCCTCCTCCTTCTCCTCCTTCTTCTCCACCTCCTCCTCCTCCTCCTCCCC